TTCGAGTTCGGTTCGAACTTCGAACCTTTCTTGAACTCAAGCCAAAGTCCGGTTCGAGTTCGATTCGAATTTCGAACTGAACTCGAACTCAGGCAAAGTCCAGTTCAGTTCAGTTCATAGGAACACTACTTCACACTATTAAAACTCTATTTGAATAAAGAATTCTTTGTAAATAAACAAAGTATTATATCAAAAAAAATCAAAATTGAATTAAAAATTCTCTGTGAAAGAACAAACAAAACACTAACAAATAAATATTTTTCAATTTAACTTTCATAAAATCAACTAATACTGAAGTTAAAAAATTATTTCAAGAAATAGTTATTGGAGTATTAATATCAGAATAATATTCTTATAAAGATCTCAAAGTTATTTTTGATAAATTTAAAGTATTTCATAGAGAAATAATTCATGAAAACATATCAACTACAGTAAGAGAAGTATTTATAGAATTATTAGAAACAGAAACTGACTTAACTGAATCAGAAATTCAAATTATTTTACATCAAATTCAATAAGATATTTATCAATTCCATCAACAAAAAGAAGAATATTTGAGAAAAGTAGAATAAAGAAGAATAATAGTAGAAATCTCCAGCTTAAGAGATTACTCATTGAAGAAGAATATAGAAAATTTATTAATACTATCAAAAACTTTAACTTGAAAGAATTCAACAAAGTGGATATTATACCAAAATACTTTAGTTAAATAACCAAATCAATTAATCAATAATTAATATTATCTTTCAATACTAAACAAAAAGAAAAAGTATCAGTAGTTATTCAAACTCAAAAAACTCAACAAAAATTGGAAGACAAAGAAATTTAACAAAAGAATTTCTAGAAGAAGAAAATCAAAAAGAAATCAAAAAGAAGATCAATCAGAAGAAAATAACAAAATGGCAAAAGAAATTGCTAATCAATTTGAAAACTTAATTACTGGATTGAATGTTTTAGTACTTGCTATAGGACAAGGTAATAAAGAAGTCAAATATGCAAAGATAGTTAATTTCTATGAAGATACTCAAGATTCAATTGGATGACTACAAGACTTTAAAAATACATACCAAGCTAGTGCAATTAGCAACAATAAAAAAATACAAATAGTTGAAACTTACTTAAAAGAAGCTGTTGTTACTTGGCTCACCAACAAAAAAATAAATGCAAATTGATTCACATAATGAAATCCAGCTGATCAACTGCTAATAATCTACTTGCTTCATTTATACATCAATTCAAATTGCAATTTAAAACTCAAGATAGAGTTTATAAATGACAAAGACAATTGAAAAAAAGAAAACAATTATCTGATAAAAGTGTAAAACAATATGTTGCTGCCATAAGAAAACTCTTATAATGAGTAGATTTAGACAATAATTATCCAGTTTATTTACAAGTATTACAATTCATAGATGAACTTAAATCAGAAATTCATTTCTTTGTTAATTCAACAAGACCTGCAACTTTAGAAAATGCTATTAATACAGCTCAACTTCATAATGCAAATTTTCAACAATACACTCAAATAAATACTATATCTCAATATAATATACCAATTGTACCAAGTCTAATGATTATTCCATTCTTACCACAAGTACAAACTGAGAATGAAGTTAGCAAATTATAGATAATTGGAAGAATTAAAAGTTCAATTAAAAGAAAGAAACTCCAATTACCCCAATCTTCAAAGGTTGATGGAAGATAGCACTACAGTTACTTCACCTTCACGAGATGATTATCCATAGATTTTATTTATTTCATATTTTATTTTGTATTTTACTATGTATTTTATCCTGTAATTTTTATCGTATATATTTTATTAATAAAGATTTTTGATTAGAGGAACGTACAACGTATCGTGTGTTATTTTTTCGTGTAATGTTTATGTGTATATATTAATCGTGACCAAAAACAAGAAAAATGGTCACGGTCTGAATCATGTGACTTCAAACTTTTGAACATATCCGTATCTTGTATAAAACAATGGCAGATACACGATCCAGAATTGATTTGTCGAGGAAAGAATTTCTGAACTTGAAGATGCAGATGATGATCTTTTAGCCAGAATTAAAAAGCTGGAAGATGCAGATAATGATCTTAAAGTTAGAATTACGAAATTGGAACTGAAGCTGATATCTAAGAAAAATCGTAAATTCCAGAATAAATGTATTCAGATAGCTATGGAAATTCTTAATGAGGGACCGATAATTGAGTATCGCCTTCCCTCCTTGAATGGATTGGAATTTGATGCCTTCTTTCAAAAATATCGAATCGCATTGGAGGTACAAGGAAGTCAGCACCGATTCCACAACACTGGCTGGTATAAAGATGTTAAAAAACTCGAAGATATTGTTAATCGTGATCGTCTAAAAAGGTGCATGTGTCACGATAACGGAATTTTCCTACTTGAGATATGGTACGATGAGAATCCAGAAATAGTTATCCCTGAAAGAATACAAAAAATTAAAAGTTTCGTTAATCAAGCTTCCAAATTTTTCGATCTACAATAATAATTTATAATACATATCTAAATTGCAGATAACTTTTTAATATAACATATAATACATTTTTTTTTGCTTTGGTATCATTTTTCCCGAATAAAAATCATGTAAAAAATACCACATCATGTCCAATCTCTTTAAGAGGCAAGGCATCAAAATTGTGCCTTCCATAATAACATAACTTTAATATTTCACAAAACCGATATAAAAAATGTATATTTATGGAACACAAATTATTACTAGTTAATCGGCTCATCAATTTTATGAATGGCAATTTTTTTATCATTCAAACAAATGGACATAATTACATTAAACTGCCTTCTTCAAGGAAGCAAAATTAATAAAGCTTTTCCTATTTTAATAAACAGAAATGAGACCATTGTTCGATTAAAGGAAGTTATTAAGGAGAAAAAACTGGAGTCTTATGGTTTCAATGCACAAAAGCTCAAATTATGGAAGGTTCAACTTCGCATAGATAGTGATGAGGAAATCGAACTCCACGACGATCAACTTATCCAAACGGGGGCGATTAATAGTTACTTTACTAACGAACTACTTTGTAAATATATCCACATTATTGTCAGACCACCTACACCGCCCGTTAAATTTGATCTTGTATGTAATTTGAGACTTTTGAAAGAAGGAGGAACTGTAGAATACGTAGATAAAAATCGTAATATTAAGGCAACATTATGCGAAGGTCTTCTTTGCACAAAAGATGAAAAGTATAGTTCATTTACAGAATTTATACGAGCAACCACGGGATTAAAACCAAATGAAAAAACTAACCCCATTGATTTTCGCAACTTAAAAATTAATAATATGACTTATGAGGAAGTTAGAGATCTAATCTACAAATTGAGATATTCTGAGCAATATGATTCTGAGAGTGAAGGTAATCTTCTCGTCACTTATTTTTTTTAGTCGAAATAGGCCTTAATTTTCCTGTATTACATTCAAATAGAAACTAGTGATAGTGCAACCTCCAAGGGAAAACTCGAGAAACTTCCAAATATAATCGAAATAATTCCCTGGAATGAAGATCTTGAGGATCGCCTCTGCAAGCTGTACGTGAGGGATGACATCGTGGACATATTTTGGGGCCGAAACACCGGTGAAACAACATGGAGTATTTATGTGGTTACTCACGATTTTAGCCTACGCGAATGGACAGAAGAAGTCACAGGTCAATTGATTCATTTCATACCAGAAGGGAAAGGGTTTCTCAATGCAGGGATTCCACCACAAAGTGCCCATGATCCTCTGCCAACCTGGGAAAAGGTCCCACAAGATTTACAGAAGGTTTTTGATAAAGCCTTAGACAATGAACTGGGACCATCGTTCCGGAAAGCGCATTATAACCTGGTCGGTATGAGCACTGGATATAAGAAAACTCAAGGTAAATTTACTGAAAAACCTGCTATCATCCTATATGTTCGCCAAAAAGGCATTCTACGCCGTGGATGTGGTGGTTTATTTCCAGAAGAGATTTGTGGGTATCCGGTTGATGTTGTCGAGGCTTGTGTTGCAACCTCCTATGGTTTAGGTGTAAGTCAATGTCAAGCTTATCAGGAGAACGTTGAGTTGGGATCGAGTATAGGGGTGATAGAACCACAGAGAACATCAGGAACTCTTGGTGCCGTCGTTCGTGACAAAAATTCCAAGCAGATAGGTATCCTTTCATGTGAACATGTATGCAAGTTTAGTGAATCGAATTCTGGAAAAGGTGTCATGATCCATCAGCCTTCGCATGAAGATCTAGATGAACTGAAACAGTCATTTGTTGACTTAGCAAATAAAGATAAAGAATATAAAGAGATTTCCGAAGTTATGTGCAATAAAATTAAAAAAACAAAACAAAATTCTATTCTAGCTTGCTATAAGCGTGGTATGCGAAGCAACTTTTTTTCTCAAGTGCATCAAAAGGACTTTGGAATTGACACTGCATTTTGTATTTCCACGAACAAAAACCGTACGTTATGTCCGAATAAATTCTCAGTTTCACCAGATTACTTCAAAAAAACTAAACTTCCAGAAAACATCTGTCTGAATGGTTTTTATACATATAAAGATTTTGATGACATTGATGAGTTCGGAGTCTTTAAAGTAGGAAGGAAAACAGGTCTTACTTGTGGAAAATTAGTTCCTATTAGTGTTGCTGTTTCCATTGATCTTACAAACGAAAGCATCAAATTCGCAAAAACGCAAGCTGCAACCCCACAAACTCCACCAAATACTGAATTTACAGACAAAAAATATTTCATTGGATACATGAAGTTACCATTGTTTGAAAATCGTCAGAAATGTTACCCTGCTGTGTGGTTTGATCGGCAATTAGTTTTTTATTTCATAACCGGAGACTTTAAACCTGGAGACTCGGGAGCAAGCGTTGTGGACCAAAAAGGAAAAGCTCTTGGCATCCTTCATGCATCATGGATGACAAAACATAATAGATACGCTATTGCTTCCCCTTACTTTGCAGTTTTTGAAGCATTGGATGTAGAATTTGAGGAAACATCAAGTTCGGCCTAGTTAACTAATAATTTGTAATACCATATACATCCGATAATAAATTTTTTTTCTCCGTCTAAAAAATTAAGATCAGGTGCGACTCACTTATCACCCGAAGCGATTAGTGATATTATTATAAAATAAATGTATTACCGATTCTCGCTATATATCATATGCGCGAATTCGTGAAATATGGAAATTTTCTATTACGATAAATAGTTAATACAGAGGCCTCCCAGAATATTGTGGACACTTTTTAAAATACAATAATGCAAAAACTAATAAAAAAGCAAGATTTA